AGCAGCAAAGCTAACATCAGGACGTCATCTGTTAAAATCCTCCCGTTGTCGGATACGACATGAAACTACTCCAGTTAGCTCAATCATGTTGTAACTAAGACATCCGCTGGAAAAAATATTTTCTTCACGGATGAGCACACATTTGATAAAACAGAGTTAAGTCTCTCGGCATCCATTTTCAAGCTCTCTGTGTGTTTGTTTCCTTGCGGACGAGAAAAGGGGGAGCGCACATTTCCGAGAAGGCGTGTCCTTTTCAAAAATGCAAGAGGCGTTGCTTTGTTTGCTTTGTTGCCGGCCGTTATAGCATGATTAATAATTATTTACCTTTTACTAATTACCTTTTGTTAACTGTAAAATAACTATTGACTGAAGTTCATTTAACCATCAATTTACCAAGTGTTACCGATGTGTTTTTCTTTCTGAGGAACAAAGCAGGAATTGTAACCCGACTAAATTCCTTTTCGCAAGTCTGTCACTCATCAGCCTGCGTGCTGTGAACCTCAGATGACCTTTTCCCCACTGCCCCTTCAGAGCTGTGATGGAAAGATGTGTGAGAAATGTGTCTGAGTTGTTAACAACAACAGCGGCCATGACTGCTCAGCGACACAGAGAATTTCTACATTCGTAACTTCTTGAAATCCTGCACTTTGTACTGTGGATGCAGTAGGTCTGAAAGGAGGAGATTATTAAAAGTTTGTGAGTGCTTGTACGGGAGATGGAGAGAGAAGGATGATAGGTAGGTTCCTTCTTTTTCTGTCACAGATATTGGCTGTGAAACTGGACAGCTTTTGTTTCTCGTACTTTGTCCCAGATGCTTTTAACAGCTCGGTAAGAAAGTGTAAATGGAGGTGCAGAGAAATTCTTAATGGAGAATTTCAGATATCTCAAGAACAACAGATTTTCTTTGGAAACACAAACAGATTTCACAGGCTATGTGTGAAAAATGTAGTCATGCACACGTCCAAAAGGAAAGAGTGGGCAATTCTTGGTCCTCATGTGTGACATTTAATTAACTGTGAAGTGATATTTGATGTTGTTGTCACTGACTGTTTTGGATTTCTGAAGTGCAGCTTTGCATAATTAAGCCTTCATTAAAAAAAAAACAAAAGTTTTGATTATAAATTTCAGTTTATATTGCAATTTTTACCACTTCACATTCAACACTGCATGCACTCTCTATGTGTGGTCATTTGAGCCATCAGATATTATTCAGTTTATTTGCATGTTTCATTTCAGCGTACCCTAAGTATGACATAATCATTCAGGAAAAGCAGCTTTACATTCATATTGCTCTCCTCCTTAGTTAATCCAGAGGCAAACATCACAGCATGGGTAGTTTGGAGTTCATGGTTGAGAGCAGCTAATAAATATGTTTATCCTCACTCTTCATAAAAGCTGCAGTCAGTCCCCTTCAGCCCCTCTCCCACAGCCGCATGGTTGATTAGTTATACAGTCACGAAAGAGGATTTACTCAAATGCATTAGATCAACTCTCTAGACGACGCTAGCGACTGAGGAACTATGAGTGCTCTCACCACTGAAAGTTTATCATGCCTTACCTCCCCTTCTAAATTAAATCTTATTTGACACAGTTATCATGCAAGAAAAACTTATTGACAGCCCTATGCTCTCTCTCACACAGGAACCAGTGAATTAATTTTTGCACATGAATGCATAATATATCATCTCGAGGAACAGGACGAGACAGATTGTCAGTCCTTATTTGTTACATTTCTAAACCTGAGAAGGCCACAGAGACAGAGACATGAGACATCACACCAAGTTCATGAGAAAGAGAGAGAAGTAAAGACCAGAACATTTAATTACAGACGAGACCTGTGTCGTTGACATCAATGATCATATTCAGTTTACACTAACTGGAAATAGTGTGAATGATTCGTCTTGTCTTACTATATAATGATGAAAACTCTGTTTGTGTGTGTGTGTCTGTTCCAAGTTTTTCTCCTCACTGACTTGGTCAATCCATGTGAAATTTGGCACAGTGGTAGAGGGTCATGAGAGGATGCCAATGAAGCAATATTACATCAATTGGCCAAAGGGGGGCGCTATAGCAATCGATTGAAATTGCAAACTTTGAATGGGCATATCTCATGCCCCGTATGTCGTAGAGACATGAAACTTTGCACAGAGATGCCTCTCCTCATGAGGAACACATTTGCCTCAAGAACCCATAACTTTGGGTTTATAGATTTTCCGCCATTTTGAATTTTTTGAAAAACACTTCAAATCGATCTCTTCTTTGGAAGTTTGAGCGATCTGCATGAAACTGGGTGAACATAATCTAGGGACCAATATCTAAAGTTCCCTCTTGGCAAAAGTTGGAAAACTTACTAAAACTGAGCTTCTATAAGGCAATGAATATTGCGGAGGGCGTGGCTCATCACATAAAGGTGTATAACATCTCAAGGGTTTCACCCATCACCACGCAACTTTGTAGGCATATGACCACACATAATCTGAGGGGACCCCTCCATTATTGACCCCATCAAACAAAATGGGGGCGCTAGAGAGCTCATTTCTTATCTAGGCCTAACCGCCATATGGATTTTTACTAAACTTGGTAGATATGTAGAACAGGACGCCTCAAGGTGACTGGAGAAATTTAACTCTAATTGGCAACTGGGTGGCGCTATAACAACAGAAAAATGCTTCAAAATGGCTAAAATGCGACCGATCGCTGTGGCTCCCCCTGTGGACCAATGTTTTCTAATTTTTGGTATGACTAAGTCATGGTATGGTATGCTGTACATAATCACAGAAACTGTCAGTGTGTCATTCTGTCAGTCAGTCATTCTGTCTGTCCCACGTTTTTCTACTCACTGACGTGGTCAATCTATGTGAAACTGCACATAGACATTGAGGATTGGCATAGGTAGAAGGTGACAAAGCTACCAATGGCTATGGACTAGTTTAAAGCTAATATAGGAGATCAAACAGGCAGGTAGGGAAACAAACACAGAGCACACACAGCATGCTGCATGCATTAGCATTTTTTCACTCCTTACAGTAATAGCAATTTTCTGTCTCATGTCATATGCTCTTGACATTTTCAATACGCACAAAGCAAAATATTTGCATATATATTAAAAACATCTTATGAAAGAAGAGAACCTTACAAAATACAAAAAGTATAAACTACAAAAGCCATAAAGTAACCAAATTTGCAAAACATCACAATCTGTATTGTGTAGCCACAGTTAAAAATGTGTTTCCCACTGCACATAGTCTCTGCTGCACTACAACTCCACCACAAAGCAACATTTGGACAGTTCAAGGTGTGTAGCTATAGGTTCCATAGGTGATGTGGTAAACAGGTGAATGAGAGTTGCATTTTTATTTGCTTGAAATTTGTCTTGCAGCAATATAGCAATAAGGAGGAGCAGATAAATGGGTGTTGCATTAAGAGGACTTATCGTGTGGCTTGCAGTGTATACACGGTGCACTTAGCCAAGAGGAGAGTCTGACAGAAGATGAGAGCAGAAGAGAAGAAGGGGAAAAAATCAGCCCGTCTCTGGCAAGGTGAGCGAGCTGGGCTGCTCCTCGCTGACCCTGACTACTGAGAGTTGGCTGGTGCTAGTGCTTTGAGTTTGGACCTGCTCAGAGACTGTCTGTACTGCAGAAGCATCTGGGGCAGCTGGAAGAAAAGAAGTGAGGAAGAGAAGAGAAGAGAAGAGAAGAGAAGAGAAGAGAAGAAAAGAAAAGAAAAGAAAAGAAAAGAGAAGAGAAGAGAAGAGAAGAGAGAAATTTAGTAACAGAGCGTAAAACAGAGCAGAAGAATTGAAACAAGTGCAGCAGTTATATGTGAGATGAAAAGAGACCATTAAGAATTTAAGAAATCAAAACTGCCCTACAAAATATGTCATGTAAAAACACAGCAGTCGTAATCATAATACGGGACTACAACAGCAAAGAGTCATGTACTGTAAAATCCTGTAGATTTGAAAAACAAATTCTGGTATAACACACTTCTCTGCCCATAGATAGAGACCTAAATCCAAACTGAAGTTCTCCACCCACAGAGAGCTCGACTCACCAAAGTTATTTCTCCTGCTTTTCAGATCTCTCTATCTATTTATCACTGGGGTGTGATTTTGTGTAACTCAATCACAGATTGTTTCCAGGGGGCACAATGTTCTCTTTGTAGTTTCTTAATGTCACAGGACTTTGCTGTATGAAACTGTTTTTAATAATCATCTACCACTGGGAACCACCAGCATTCCCTTACAGCTTCAAACAAGTATTAAATGGATGGTGCCCCAAGAGAAACCAAGCAGAACCGATCCAGGGATAATGCCACAGTCAGCATCTGGCTTTATATTACCACTTGATCCACAATAATCATATTAATATTACAAGGATGTTAGAGAGGTACTTACATCCTGGGATCTCAGTCAGCTCATTCAGAGGTGGCACTGTCTCTAATGTGTTGGCGTATTTTTTGGCGGCCTGTCTCTGCGCGTGCCGTGCCTCTATTTCCTTTTTGGTTCTCGGGATTCGACATTTGAAAATACAACACAGAGTGATAACTGAAAGAGAGGGGGGGAAACAGGGACATGATGAGTTTATAGGAATATTAGCATGTGTTAATAACTGTAAACATGTACACACATTTAGGAACCAAGTTATGACCAGGGGACCTATATTAGCCAATATTAGCTTGCTAACATGGTGAAAATGATAAATGGTAAACCTGATAAAAATCCACATGCTATAGCAATATCATTGTGAGCAGTATGTTAGCACGCAGATGTTAGCATTGAGCTCAAAGCACATCTGTGCCTCAGTTCAGACCAAGCGACAAACTCTGTGGCTGAAAAATGAAGCCACAGCAGTTCTTCGAATGGACACTTGAGGCCGGCTCTGGAAGCGAGTCAAACCCCACAGACCCCCATGTTACAATGCCCAACTTTACAGCAGAAATAAACATGTTTACAGCCTGGTACAACAACCAGTTTTGGCCTCTGATGCTAATTTTGAAATTGACAACTATTAAAGGATAACTTCGGTATTTTTCAACCTGGGCCCTATTTCCCCATGTGTATGTGTGCGTATGATTCATGGGTACAACTCGTTCTAAAATTGGTTCAGTATTGAGGGAGGCGGATGCAGCCGGGAGCCGCGAGGTAGATATGGGGGCAAATACGTCCCGTATAAGTTTGCACATTAAAAGTGCTTTTTTTCACCACTGACTGGTTCAGATCGCCAGTGTTATCTCTGTAAATAGCATACTAAGCGTTTCGAACATTGTTTATATAACATTACCTCCACTGTGTCTGTAGCTCTCTCTACTTGTGGGACAGCCGTTTTCTTGAGGAAGAGGTGTTTCGGGATTGGATGTCTTCTCTTCTTCAGCTGGCAGTAGTCATCTTGGGAGAAGTGAGCACTGAAGACCCGATGGTCTGCAAGGCGCAATGTCTGAACGGGAGTGTTAGCATCCATTTGTAGCACAACTAGCCACAACTTCAGCATCTCGCCGTCCGACAAAGGCAGCCTATGAAAGCTGTACGGGGTGTTGCGCGACATCCTGTTCTTGCAATTCAGATAAGCACAAACACAAACCATTGTTTTCAATTGATGCAGTAAAACTCTCAGCTGTACTCCGGGACAACCAGCGCCACTCTGAGCGGCGCTCAGCATGGCTCCTCTGTTTTCTTCCAAGAACAAGCAAAGCTCTTGCAAGATGACGTCACAGCCAGGAGGAGGCGAAGGGTAAGGGAAACGCTTAGTATGTTATTTACAGAGATAGCACTGGCGATCTGAACCGGTCAGTGTAAAAAAAAAAGCACTTTTAATGCACAAACTTATACAGGATGCATTTGCCCCCATATCTACCTTGCAGCTGCCGGCTGCATCCGCCTCCCTCAATACCGAACCAATTTTAGAACGAGTTGTACCTATGAATCATACGCACACATACACATGGGGAAATAGGGCCCAGGTTGAAAAATACCAAAGTTATCCTTTAAGGGTGGCCAGCTCCTTAGGCAGATCCACCCCTTGGTCTTCCACAGTAAGGCTGCAACGATTAGTCGACTAATCGATGACTAATCGACTATTAAAATAATCAGTGACTATTTAAGTAGTCGACTAATTGGTTTGAGTCATTTTTCACAGAAAAGTACTATAAAAGTACCCCAAAATACTCTTATTGCAGCTTGTTACATTCAGATATTGGCAGCTTTACACACTCTCCCATGACAGTGAACTAAAACCCTTTGGCGTGAGTACGAAACAAGACATTAGATGAGTTTGAGAGAGACAGACCGACATTTTTCACCATTTCAACACATTTTTCGATAAAATGATTAGTCGACTAATCAAAGAAATAATCGACAGATTAATCGACAATGAAAATAATCGTTAGTCGCAGCCTATTCCACAGTGCCAGCCTCCTGCCCGAATATGACCACTTCTGGCTCCAAAAAACCAAGATGGCGATGGCCATAATGCCAAACTCTAACCTTCAAAACAGCAGGTCATAAACCAATGGGTGACGTTGCAGTAGCTACCTCCATTATTTTTACAGTCTATGGTAACAACGCACATAGCTGGTAGCATGGCTGGTTCCCACTGGGCACGGAAGCCCCACAGAGCACACCAATTTTCGGCGCCCATGGTAGCCAATCAGGCTGCTCACACTGAACAGGTTGCGGCCCAGGACATCGCGTCCAGCTCACAATCTGCACCGATAGATTCAGCGTCTAGACAATTTTTTCCGTGAGCTACAAGCAAATCTTTTCCGCTTTTCCACCCCGACCAGGATACAATTCTCTGATATAGCAACACTTATTGTGACCATGTTTAAAGATATTGAACATTGTGCAAAATATAATCAGTCAGCAGCTTCAGTTCAAAAGAATCTGTGTCAGGATATGTTTGGATAAATGCACATGTAATGACAGCGAGAAGTAGACTGGGTAAATGTGTTAAAAACTGAGACGTTTAAATTGCATTTATTGTTCTTAAGACATCTCAGGATGTTGAGCTGTTTTGTAAAAGGATGGACGTCTACAGAATGTACTTTTAGTTCTTTACACACACAGAAAAAGGAAAATATCAGAGCTGATTGTACTTATAGGTTGTTGTGTGATAGTTTTATTGGTCCGGCCCATCTGAGATCAAACTGGACTGTGTGTGGCCCATGAACTAAAATTAGTTTGACACCCCTGATTTATCATATAAATTATCTGATTATTCTAAATTATACAATATGCATCCCACGCTTGATTATTCCACATATTTGTCAGTGTGAACATGGTATTAGTCTTGTTAAAATGCAGTTTGTCAGCCCTTTGAAAAACCAGACCTATTTACCTATTTGTGTTGGCATTAAACCAGAAAACTAAGAGGAGTATGGGTCAAAAACTATGTAAATAAAACCAAAACTATCAGCGTGGCTGGATATTACGACAAGCACAATTTGCATACAGTGAGTTTCTCTTTGCTTGCTCTACAATTTCTATGACTCACTGCTGGAAACAAAAAAGCCTTCCCTGTCTTTCCTGACATAATATCAGTCATTATTACTAATCACACTTTGCTTGACAATCATAGTGCGGACACATAAATTGCATGCATCGACATCTCTGGCCTGCAGGTATTGCTAAAAATTGCAGTCTGTTTGATGAATGGTTTGTGGAGATGTCAGTAAAGTGATTTCATGAACTGTACTGACCAACTGCTAAAACAAACACAGAAAAGATGGCGATGACCTGCCATAACCGCAGCCCCCAGAAAACAACAGTCTCTGAGTTGACGGGGTCCGGCTTCTTCGGGGGATCTGTGGGTAAAAGCTGCGGAAACAAAGAGAGAATGGGTTTTTTTTTTAGGTATCTGTGCTAAAAAAAACTTCACAAACAGGTTTAACAGCACAGAGAAAACCTTAAGCTCCATAGCAACTTCAGGTAATGTCATGTAATGTGTCAGTAAAGTAACTCATGTAAGGCTTATGATGACTTGAAGTAAAAGTAATTGATGTTTTGGATCTAATATACATTAAAGTCATACATTAAAGAAATGCAGATATACGTAGAAGAAGAGTTTGAAGTCATTTAAAGGTCACGGGTTCCCTGATCATCAGTTATCACCAGTTAAGTATCTCATGACCGGTAATTTCAGTCTTTTTTAAGCACAAGCATGCGTCTGACAACCTCACTTTTCATTCTGAACTCTGCCAAGGTCATTTCCATGATTCCCTATCTAATTATTTAGATTTATGACATTTAACTGAGCTGACATACACTTCCTGACAGAGGTACTTTAAGAAACAACCACAGAACTGAATTTTTTTTTTTTTTCACTTTTCCAAGGCATTTGGCAAAATGTTGAAAAACAAAAGGTCTGGATGCAAAGGGCTTCAGCGTTTCTTCAGCCAAGAAAACAACAACACCCACATAACCTGTGGGTTTCTGTGGCTCTGTCTCCACCTGAATCTCCTCGACACAAACAAACGCTGAGGTCTGTAAACATGACCGACATGAGACCGTGCAGACAGAGAAGGCTGGTTTCAAAACTTCTCCATTTTCTTTGAACTTTCCCCAGTGGTCTTAAAGGGAAATTTCGGTTTATTTCAACCCAGCAAATGTAATAAGTGTCCATTTTCCCGATCCATCGCTCATCAGTTTATGGACTAAAGTATAGCGTTTCCAACACAACCTTGTATCATCCAGTCAAGTAATCGATACACAGTCAACAAGGAGAAATCCTCACAATGATTCTATCAGGGACCTGATGCTTTGAATGCTCCGCTGGCTCTGGCAGAGGAGTGATCCAAGCCATCGATCTACTCTCACATAAACACAAACACAGTTTTTATACTCATAGTTCCCAGCCCCCTGCTCTGGAGAAAAGTGTTCTGAAATGCAATATATTTTTGTGCAGCAGAAAGTAAGGACATTTAAAGGCAAATTTCGGTTTATTTCAACCTGTCTCCCATCATCCTAAATTTGTTTCAAGTGACTAGTGACATAAAAATAATAGTTAGCATGTTAGCCGTTAGCCTAGATACAGCCGGGGCGCATAGTAGCATCAGACCTGTTAAAACGTAAGTGAACGGGCAACCTTCAAGTGCAAAGTTAGTCCACTAAACAAGCTTTTTTCCACAAAGACCGCCTCATATCGTTAGGATAAATGTCAGAGAACATATAGAAAAAGACATGTAAACGTGTTGTCTTACCTGACCAGTGTGGTGCCATGTGGTGTCTGGCAAAAAGTGAGCCATTATTCTATAAATCTTTCATAAAATAAATGAATGAACTTTTCAGTCTACTGTCCAGTTCTGCCTTCCAGCTGTTGCTGCTTGTTCTCGCGAGATTTCAGGCACGGTATGAGATCGCTGCTTGTTCTCGCGATATTTTGGCCGCGCTTTGGAAAGCAGAGCTAGATGGTAAACAAACATGGCAGCACACCGGTAAGGTAAGACAACACGTTTACATGTCGTTTTCTATATGTTCTCTGACATTTATCCTAACGATATGAGGCGGTCTTTGTGGAAAAAAGCTTGTTTAGTGGACTAACTTTGCACTTGAAGGTTGCCCGTTCACTTACGTTTTAACAGGTCTGACACTACTACGCGCCCCAGCTGTATCTAGGCTAACGGCTAACATGCTAACTATTATTTTTATGTCACTAGTCACTTGAAACAAATTTAGGATGATGGGAGACAGGTTGAAATAAACCGAAATTTGCCTTTAAATGTCCTTACTTTCTGCTGCACAAAAATATATTGCATTTCAGAACACTTTTCTCCAGAGCAGGGGGCTGGGAACTATGAGTATAAAAACTGTGTTTGTGTTTATGTGAGAGTAGATCGATGGCTTGGATCACTCCTCTGCCAGAGCCAGCGGAGCATTCAAAGCATCAGGTCCCTGATAGAATCATTGTGAGGATTTCTCCTTGTTGACTGTGTATCGATTACTTGACTGGATGATACAAGGTTGTGTTGGAAACGTTATACTTTAGTCCATAAACTGATGAGCGATGGATCGGGAAAATGGACACTTATTACATTTGCTGCCTTTGCTGATAACACCATTATGTGGTGAAATTGAAATCGTTCTAAAAGTAAGCCCAGGCTGTGATACGGACACTACAGGACAGAGGCAGAGGATGAGAAGTGACACTGAATGGTTTTGTTTTGGTAGAAATGAACTAAAATACTAAGATAAAATATGACAAGTACCAATATTAAAGTTGATTTTGTCCAAAATGTTTTACAGTATAATATAGTAAACACTGCATGTAGCTTTCAGTCAGCGTTTCAGGAGAATATGTCTTTGAATTCATGTGAAAGTCACCAAATAAAAAATCAGAAGTGGAATCAGTAATTCAAACTCAGACTCAATCCTGTCATAATCCTGGGTTTGTTTATTTATTTCCTGTTATTCCATGGACTTTGTTTTTAGTTTTCTGCTTGTGTCCCTTGTTTAATGTTACTCATTCATGTTTAATCTGCTTCCTGTTTTATTTTGTAGATTCTCTCCTCATGTGTCATGTCTGCTTTTACTTCCTGTCTTTGTGTGTTTTCCCGCCTGTTTTCTATCACACCTGTCTCGTTAGTCCTTCCCTGTTCCCAAAGTCTTTCCCTCACAGCTGTTCTGTTTTAGTCGTGATTGCTCCACCCTAGTGTTCCATCCACACCCTTGATGTTAGCCAATCTCCATTTCCCTCCTTTTGCCCGTGTCTTCCTACTGCAGCTGTGTCTCGTTCTTGTGATGAGTTTTCTGTGTATATATACCTGTGTGTGTACCTGCTTTCATTTGGACTTTCAGTGATCTGCTGAATCTGGATGTTTTCTATCAGCTGTATTAAAGCTTGCTTTTTGTTAAAACCTCAACTGGCCTGTTAGTCTGCATTTGGGTCCTCCTTGAACCGCTGTGTGACACAATCCTACAAGTCTTTGAGCCTCAGATCCTCAGGCAGGGCTCGTTGGCTGTTCCTCAGTCCAGCTCAAACTAAAGGTGACCGGGCTTTTTCAGTCAAGGCCCCTCAGCTCTGGAGCTCCCTGCCTGAGGATCTGAGGCTCCCTGAATTAGCAGCCCCTTTTAAACTGCCAGATTTTCCCTGAATGTTGGGCCGTTTTGCCGGCAAGCTGCAATCATTTATACACACAGAGGCAGTTTGGCCAGTTGATCCGAGGTGCCCAATTTCCCGCCTCGTAGGGTAGACATATTGGAGGAACCCTTTTAGTTTAAACAGATGGAGGCGGCCTTCCGCAATGGGAGGGGCTGTTGATGACTTGTGGGAGGAGCTGTTGATGACGCCGCACGTGCGACCCACTGGCGTTGGATAAACAGGAAACAGCTGATAGCAGGAATTAGCGAGCAGCTAGTAGCAAGAGGGAAACACAAACCTGACACACTGTAAAGATGAGCAACTGGGGAGACAAGGAATTGCGAGCCCTCCTTGTCCTCGCAAACGAAGAGGCCATTAACCGTCAGATGACGGGGACGGTGAAGAACGGGCCGACTTATGAGAGAATCACCAAAGGACTGACCAGCCGCGGCTTCCCTCCCACGTCACTGTTTACGTCACATGCTGAGCTACATGTTTTGTTACTTGCTCACGCCCCCCATTGAACGAAAAAGGCGCATTCTGTATAAACAAAAGTAGGTAGGCGGCATTTTGCTGCACTCCCCGATTTTGTTTTTATACTGCCAATGCTGAAAAAAGACTGATTGGGCTTTCCTGCAAATTTGCACAATTCATGTTTAAAAAGGGCTACTGACATCTTTAAATCGCTTCCTAAAACGTATCTGTTCAATAAAGCCTTTTTTTAATTTCAGCACACTGCTTATTTTATATATGTCTCATTTGATTATTTTTATTGGTTTTATCTTGTGTTGTCAGCGGTTATTATATTTAATTTTTTATTACTCTAATTGTTTGATTTGCTGTACTTTAATGCAATATATAGGGCAATTATTTGCCACCTTTGCTTATCTGCTTGATGGTATTTTATCTTTATTTTATTTTTTGTTCTTTGTATTTTATTAAAATTGCCTCATTTTATTTGCTTGAATTCTGTATTTTAAATCCTGGATCAACCATGTAAAGCACTTTAACTTTGTTTTGAAAAGTGCTTTATAAATAAAGTTTATTATTTCATAATCTGAGTACAACCAATGAGATTTGCTTTGACCTTGAAAAACTTAGTTGAACCATCTTAATTTGTGTTGATATTTAGAGGTCAAACTGTTTTACTTAAGATATTCTAAATTATTTAAATTCTATCCTACTCAAAAATGTCATGTTTTGGATTTTGACAAGCTTCTTAAAATATAAAATAAGTCGTCAGCTGAGTAAAATGTGTTAATGAAACAAATGTAATTTTTTAATGCTGAAACACGTCATTATTTTAAGCGTTATCCACTAACTCCATGAATAATATTTTAGAGTGTGTGCGGACTTATTTTTTTTACTTTGCCAGCTGTTTCTTTAGTCCAGCACCCACTCCACTGGACATTAGGATGTGCATGTCTTTTGTACTGTTTTGAAAGTCCCCAAATATTAAGACAAGCTTTGTATTCGCACCTTTTCCAACATCTGTTATTTTTAATTTTGTGTCATGTGAGACTCTCAGCACCGGGGCAACAGGACCTGTTTTTGCTGTTTCAGATCTAATTGGCTTCATCAATGAGCCAACATGTGATATGTGACAGAACGAACCGTCTTCAGGAGCTTTTATCCTGTTTGTGAGCTGTTGAGGACACGAGACGGGCCGTGATCTTAAACAAAGACAAAAGAAGGTCTGAATGAGTTTACACTTGTGTTTGTGCGACTCCCACAGAAAGGATTAGTCTTGATGGGGATATTTAGCATGCTGCTCTTAAATAATAACAATTTTTGCTTCAAAAGTGATTATATAATGCTAAGTCCTTTCCTCTGGGGCATTTCATGGGGCAGGATTAGTGGCTGTAAGCCGCGAGTTTTCTTCTGGTAGAACAAACAACACAAACTGAAGAGATTACTGACCTCAAGTCACCTCATGTTCATCCTTACACAGACCCACATTCATGACAGATTTTTGTTTGTTCGATGGTTGGTTGGTAAGTTTGATCGTTACGTATTCAAAAGCATATTTGGATATTTTTTCCCCCGAGTAAGTTTTTCTAAGAAGATCCTTTAGGGACTAATCAAGGAAGATTAGTATAATGGAATGAAGGATTAATGTCTAAAAATAGGAAAATCAGCATTGGGAAACAGGTCTAGTTATGCCACATATTAGCAAAGGGCCGATTACAATTACACTGACTTACAAAAGGACATCCTGTAACAAAGAATATGTGCAACTTTGTGCCGTGCCTTCAGTAGATTCTTTTTCCTGATGTTTGAAACAAAGTTTTTAAACTGCCGTCACTGGCTGACACCTGCAGGTGCTGATCTTTCCGCAGTGCAAATAGCGCAGACATATTTATTCATTAAACATCTTCAGCTCTCAACTCAAGCTTCACTTTCTCACTTTCTGAACACTCTGAATTCCTCCTCGGAGCAGCCAGAGGGAGGATGTTTCTAGAAGTTTTGTGTGCTCGCTCTGGCCCTCCATAATAAGATCAAGATGTCACATGTCAAAACAGGGTTATATTTGTATAAATATCAATAAATATAAACACTATTAACTGTTTCCTTCTTGTGACTGGAATGTTAGCAATAGGATGACTCAAAATTCACTTTCCATCATAAAGGACTGTTTTGTCAGATTGTCAGGATATTAAAATGGCATGTAGTCATGCTTCTACACAACGTACAGTATAGAAGTAAAATGCTTATTTTCCAGAAGCAGAATTGTTTTATTACTAAACATAATGGATTTCAGCTGCTTTTTGTAGTCGCATCATTGTGGTAGTCATATTCTCTGTAATGTAACCCTCTCCTCTTCAGCCCAAAAGCACAAAAACAACTTGTCATACCAGGATTCGTCATAGTCACCCTCCTTTTTGCACCCATATAAACACATGTGGCTTGGCTTTTCATGCAAGACCACACAATATATCAAGTTTCTACACAATGCTCGCTTGCTCCTCATCAACTCTGGCGACCAAACAACAAGTAAGAATCACATAACGCTACCTTTTAAATGGCAGAACACCTGCACCTGTCACAGAGGAATACTTAGGATATTCCTGAGAGGAACCTGTGGAGGACATGGTGGTGTATCAGGCTCTTACCTCAGGATCCGGGACCTGGGAGGACACCGAGGACAAGCACTGAGACAGCAGCACTGCTCCCCAGCCCCGCAGCAGGAGCTGGGGTGGACACACAGGCTGATCCCCAACCATTCTCTCCCCCTCTTTCGCCCTGCAGCCACCCTGCCCCCTCTTCCTCTGCCTCTTCCTCTCTTCTTCTTTCTCTCTGTCTGCCTGCCTGCCTGCGCTGGCGCCGTATAGAGGACAGGACCACAATGGCCCTGGGTGATTAATGTTGACTATGGTGCTGACGGCTTCCTCTCATCCACAGTTGTCTGCCTCTCTTCTCCCCTGTCTCTTGCCTTTCTCCCACAACACTGCAGAAACACCAAAGACAAACTGGCAGTCACCACTGCATGCAGCTCAGAGCTGCTTCACTACAATGGAGGGAGCCAACCCTGCAGTTAGGGTACATTAATTAATTAATAGACCTGGTGTGGTTTACAGCCAGCTCATCCTGCTGGGAACAGGCAGTTAACACAGTGTGGGGGGATGGGCAGTACAGTTAACCATGAGATTGGCCTGCGCAGGACAGCGAAGCAAATGTCTGTGAGCGTCATCATGTTTATTGCCTCAGAGTGTAAGAACGCTCACAGCCTCGTCTCTACAGTGTGGCAAGATGTGAAGAGCCATGGTGCTGTGGCATCTGGTGCTTTCAACATTAAAGAGCAAAATATGTGCTCAAGGTCATTTGTGCTCAACTTATTTCAATATGTCACTACTGCCTCTAGTGCATTTAAGGATTGTATGTCATTAGTTTTAGCACTGAATTACAATTCTTGTGACAAAAAATATGTTAAAATCATTTCTTGCTGATGTGTTCAAAGTGTTTTGAACTGTATGTCTTGTTTTCTTTTCTTTCTTTGGTGTCATTTCGTTTTGGGTTTTTGATTGTTTGTTTTGTTTTCTGTTTTTTTATCTATTAATATTTCTTTTTTTGTGCTTTGTTGTATTTTAGGTAGATATGTGTAACATCTTGGCCAAGGGACCACAGATGAAAAATAGCCTTTTGGCTATTTTTTGGCATTTTTATACCATGTGCATTTATTAATTTGTGCTGTCCCTTCTTAAATACACTAGAGAATTGAATTGAATTGAATTGAATTTTATTTTATTTGAAATGTAATATTTCAAATTGCGTTTGTTTGTTGTTGTGCTGTGTGTGGAGGCTGCTGTTAATTTAAAAAAAAAAAAATAATAATAATTTTATATACTTCATTAATCCCCGAGGGGAAATTCAATTTTTCACTCTGTTGTCAATTACACACAGGTCCGAACACACACATGCACAAACTGGACCTATACATGCACTAAGTGGAGAGATGTCAGAGTGGGCTGCCCATGACAGGCGCTCCGAGCAGTTGGGAGGTTCGGTGCCTTGCTCAGGGCACCTCGGCAGTGCCCAGGAGGTGAACTGGCACCTCTCCAGCCACCAGTCCATGCTCCATATTTTGGTCCGGACGGGGACTTGAACAGGTGACCCTAATCTATGATGTTGGCAGTGATGACAAAAATATTCTTGTAATATAAGAAGCCGTACCACAATGGAGGGTGTACTCGATTGAAAATTAAAGTTGAAACTTTATTCATATGCTCATTTGTAAAACTGAGGACACAGCATTAGAAAATCCTTACTACTAACTTCAGTCTGTTGAATTGTAAAAAATATTTTTTTCTTTTTTTGAGTGCGCATCATTCTAAATACAGTACAGCTGACATTTCATGTGTGACATAATCATTGTTTCGTTAAAAAAAAAAAAAAATCTCATTTCATGATTAATTCTGGTTTGAGTTACTCATCCACAAATACAGTGCAGTCATGTACAGCTGTCATCACATGAGATGTTGAATCCTCAACCACATAGGCTTCACATACTCATTGCATACATGCACACAGATAGACATCCACTCAACACACACACACACACACACACACACACACACACACACACACACACACATTAGACAAGGCAGGATGTAACACAAGGTTTCTTAGAGTTCATGGATGCTGGGTGACTTTCCGACTAGATTTGGCTCCATATCTTGGTACTATTTTCATTAAAGGTTTCAGTTCTTGACGTGCAGGTGCTTCCTCCTTTTTCCAGTTTTGCAAAATGAGCTTCTTATAAACTAAAGATGACAAAAAAACTTTGCCATCCTGTTGGGTGTCTTATTTTCCCAACATTTTGAAAGAGGCAAATTGTTGGTGAAAAAAATACTGCTTGGAGAAAAATGAAGAAAATACTGGGTCAAGAAATAGAAATTCCCAAGCATATACAACTCTGTAACAACCCTTCAGTAACTATTCAAAAATGCCGAGGCATGGAGAAGCTGTGGAATTCAGAAATCAGCTGACATATCCATCATAATTCAGTTTATTATTTCAGGAATTGAAAAAAATAAATATAAGCTAAAAGATCCAGAATGTTTTAAGTATCTATAACTGAAAAACTGGCTAAATATTAAAACTTCAATCTTGGAAATAGATCCTGAACTTAGATAGGGGAAATCTTGAAGAGAAGGGAAAATAAAGAGAAATGTTAAATAGGGGCTGTATACAATATTCTGACTAAAGCTGAGAGCAATAAAGAACTGCTACAAAACATATTAAATAAATGGAATACAGATGTCAGTATAGTAGATGCAAAACAAAAATGAAAGGAATGTTTACAACTCACATATAAAATTACCACTAATGAGAATTTATATTTAATTCAGTATAAGTTAATGACAAGAATAAACTACAGTAGATAAAACTCACATTTTCGACACTGGCGCTTCAGATAAATGTTTAAAATGTCGTGCTCAGAGTGACTCCCTCATACATGCCTTTTGGTAGCGTGAGTATTGAAAGATGGATTTCAAGAACCTGCAATTGTGTAAAACATTATTTTAATGTTAAAGGTGGTCTACATTATGCAGCCAGTCTAATTGTCACAGTATTATTGTGGTTTAAATTATAGCTAAGCGTCATTTTCTACATGCTCATTTCATGCTCTGCTTGTTAGATTTTCATCTGTTACCCACCCAGCACAGCTGCCATCACATGCAACAGTGCAAAGGAAAGAATGACAACATTTTTTCCCCTCTGAAAAGTCCTAAAAGATGGAAAACAGCACAAATTGAATCCGTGTTTCAGAACACCTGACAAATGTATGTAACTCTGTCTTTTAGTTTCTGAGTAACTACCAACCCCTGAGGGAAATATCTGGCTCTTTAGCTGCTAAATGCTCAACTAAGTTCATCAGCTTGTCTCTAACTTTCTAACTTTGCAGGGCAGATAGCGTATTTAATTGACAACAGCATTCTGCTGAGCTGAAAACAATGCGTGAATATGAGTGCTGAGACTGAACCAAAACAATCACGTTTTGGGCTGTAAAACCAAAATAATGAGTCACTCCGAGCTCCCCCACATATCTATTTACCCACACATAGTTATCTGATGTGTTGTTAAAAGAATAGCTTGACATTTTGGGGAATACCCTCGTTTTCTCTTCGAAGGAGAGTTCTGTGAGAAGACTGACACACTCCAACTGCCCGTTTATTTGAGTATTATGTGTAAACAGCTGCTGACTTTGCTGTTGTTTAAGTGGTTTACTCATACAACCTATTGCTGTTCCACTGATGCTGACCATTTCAAGATACAACCACCTCATCAGGTGCAATAAATGCCTCTGTCAAACAAAAAACAAACAGCTGTTACTCACCTATGAAGCATGATTTTAATCCACAGATCGCTATTATCCAGACAGAAATGCTGCTGACACAGTTCTCACACACTCCCAGTGGTCCAGAGTATCTGAATCCAGCAAAATATTTTGTTCTCACACACTGTTGCATCCACAAACTGCTGCTGCATCGTTTCAAACATTTATATTTCTCCACATATTAATGATGATTTCTTCTATTCTGTATTGAAACCTGGATATCAAAATGGAGGCAAATTCCTGACCTTTTCATTGAAACCTTACTTGAGCCAATAGGAACTTCCAATGCCGTTGCAATGGCCTTGATAGCCAACAAAAGTAACTGGTGTGTGCATAAGTTTGTATGACCTGGAGGTTAATTCTTTGATGGGTGATTATCCAGGAGTTAATAGACTCCAAAATGATGAGGGCCCTCTGTGCTCCTTTGGAGAGCATGAATGCCACTCCCTCCGTGTGTGGTACCTTTCATCTGGGAGTCTGGAGTGTAATATGGACTGGACTCGCCACTGGCCTGATGTCCCAGGTTGCGATGTTGATAGACTGCGTAGAACCTCTACTGGACCGAAAGCCTATATCTCTGACAGCTAGCTCCAAAGTTCCGTTTCTCTGAAAATACACACTCCCTCCAGTTAGTTTGAGTTTTCTCGCAGCATCTGAGCCACTGATCCTGGGTGTTTTTACCAACCATTTGCGGTGTTTCCCAGAGCCACCGAATCCAGGTGTTTTTCCCTGACCCATCCCAGAGACTTCTGTGCCACCATGGAAAGCCACAGCTAAAACAAAACATGCCAAAACATGACCTTTTTTTCCATATCCATGACGTGGTTTAGTGCCTAAACCTAACCACACGTTTGCCACAGCATTGACAAATTCAGTGTATATGTCATTTACAGAAACATACAGTGCAAACGTTTTTCCTGGTGACTGGGTTTGTCTTGACTGCAGAGTTGGTCTGCAGAGAGCATACATATTGCCAGCATGCCCTTTAGGGTCAGTAATCCAACCTCTTCTCTTGCTGTAGTGATTGTAACATCCAATTTCTGTACCTCCTGCTATATTAGCCAAACAATATACTTACAGCACAAACTACATGAAGGTTTCAGTTAAATGATTGCAAACAAACCGACTGAAGCACCTTTTCACGTGGATTCAAGCATCCTTATGTGTCAAGGTCGGTCTAAAAGGCATGCTAATGAGAAATACTACAGTAAGAGTGGATTCTGTGTCATTATAGTTCCATTTGCCCAATCTTTGCTTGGTCCTGGGTACACCTTTCATTAACAGTGACAAATCTTCAAACACGTTCTCTCCAGAAAAGACACTTTGCCTTGTTCATTAATCCCCATAGAAACTGGGGCACTATTGTTCGAGGAGCACACGCTTCCATATACAGCATGTACATTTGAGTATGACTTCCCTGATGATGATGATTAAAAGGAAACGCATGCTAGCAGCCTGCAGCCCCCTTCAAAGAGTTTTTGGTGATAATGAGAACCCTTGTCCTCAGCCTAAGTCAGTAATAGCACCACTGATTGGCTTTTGTCAGAGGTGTCTGGCGCAATCACCATACTACTGCTACATCCACTAGATCAAGTCTAACTGGAATAAAAAAGAGCCTGCTGTGCCATTGATAATTATTATTACTTTTGT